CCTCCAGTTCCCCAGTCACCTCCAGTTCCCTGGTCGCCTCCGGTGGCAGCGCCAGCCTCCATTGGAGCGGTGGCGCCGCCTTCCGATGCCGAGACAGTGCCCCGTACTTCTGAAGCTGCTTCTTCTGGTGTTAGGACTTCTCCCAAGGGGCCGACTGCTGGACCGGAACTTCCTAATTCTGTTCCAGCCTCTTCAGTGACCGGTTCCGCACGTGCCGCTGTCCTCTTCTATTCTTGTAGGTCCATTTTCAGACGGGTTGGAGGTCGAGGCTGTCAGAACGGTGCGCAGTCGTAGAAGGCCATCGGAAGCAGGTCGCTCGAGGTCCATTTCCGTGGGATGTGACCATGTTGGCGGCTGCGAAGGAGTTGTTTTTAGCAGCACAGTGCGGTGAGAGTCTCCAGTAGTTCCTTGAGCCGAGAACTGCAGCACAAAGACTCCGCCATCGTCGATCGCTTTGCCGATGTAAGAGTTATTGTAGAAAAGTACAAAGGTGTTGTCCCTGCAGTTGCTGCGAATGTCGACTCCGCACCGCATAAGCTGTGCCGAAGAGAGCAGGTTGTACCGCAGATCTGGGGCGACAAGCACATCTCCGATGTGAACGGTGAACTTCGTGTCGTCTGCTTCAAGGTAAACTTCACCAATGTCATATGCCTTCAGTGTGCTGTTGTTCGCAGCTGTGATTTCGCACGGTCGTCGCATGCGTTTTGAGTTGCTGATGAACGTTGGTGATCCCACCATGTGTTGTCCGCATCAGCTGTCCAGGTACCAGGTGTTGATGTTCTCACGGCTCTGTCGTGCGATGTTGGCGATCTTTGGTGTGATGACGCGATCGAAGTCACCGTTGTATGGCGAGAGAGCGAAGTACCTGTTCGCCGAGATGCTGGGAGGAGATTCCAGTGTCGGCGGTGGCAGCTCAAAATCAGGTGGGTATTTTGATGGTTGGTCGATCCAAGTGTAGATGGTGGGATCGTTGTCTGGACTGGGTACAATAGGGTTCATGGGCGCGATAGGTGGATATTGAACATTGTCGTAGTATCGAATGCCTTTGCGGCGCCGTGCCATACAGCTCATGATCGTTCCTTTGCCTTTGTCCTTGTTGGAGATGCGTGCAGGGGTTTGAGAAGTGCTTGCTATTGAAGGCGGTGACACGGTCGAGGTCGTAATAGGAGGAGCCGAGGGTGCCGAGGGCTGCCGATTGGCAGAGTTGTTGCGCCGCTCGTCAGCAGCCTTTTGCTTGTAGCACCGATGGATAGTGTACCCGGGCTTCTTGCAGTATTTGCAGAAAGTTCATCTCTTGCCGTGCTGCTCCCCTTCAGTTGCTCCAACGTAGAAGACTAACTTTTCCCGCTTGGTGTTCTTCTCATTGTACAGGTCGATCTCCTTTTGCTCAGAGAGGAGCGTGGCGCACAAGGCCGACTCGGAGATGGTTGCTCGAGCACGAAGCAACGATTGGCATTGACGCTAGTCGGGTCCGAGTCCGGAGAGAACCATCGAGACGAACATGTCGTCAGGAACGGTTCCGCCGCACTTTTTGATTTGGTCGCGCATATTGCAGCACCGGTTGATATACGGTCCCGCTTTCTCTACTTGTTGCATTTGGCTGAGCAAGCGACTCATAGTGACGGGATCTGTTGCCATGTATGAGTTGTGCAGGTGCTCTCAGGAGGTGTATGCGGGCGCCCACTCTGACTTGTAGGAGCGAATGCCGAGCTGCTCGGAAGGGGAGAGGTTTCGGAGGAGAGTGGTGTACGCAAGAAGAGACTCGCGGTAGTATTAGTTTTTCTCTTGGATGGTCCCTTCCATCGGAAACGGTAAGCTTCCATCGTATTACATCCAAATCTGCGCAGTTGTCGTGAGGAGCTCGAACTCGAAGCTCCACGTGTAGAAATATTTTCCGTCGAAGGGAACTGACGTTTTCAGCTTCGAGGTTAGAACGAACTTCGTCTGCATTGTTGCGATCGTGTTTGAATGTGCGCGTTGTTGACTGTCTTGCGCAGGAGCTGAAGCTTGACGATTGTCAAATGTGAAGGACCTCTCGGAGTTGACGCGGCGGTCTGTCAAAGATAGTAGCAGTACGGCCTAGGCTTAGTAGCCTAGGCCACAGTAGGACTAGAACGAGGAGGCGCCAAGTGCGAGCTAGGATTGTGTGCAGGAATAGAATTGAGAAGGAATGATGGAACTAGCAAGCAGCAGGATACAAATAACAAACCCTAAGGGGTTGTACTCACTATTGAGTGCCCCACTGCAGGCTACACAAACAACATATTCTGACACACCCCCATAGCCAAAGTGGGGTGTAATCAGCACAGTAAGCAAAGCAGAACAAGCTCAGGGTGGATCACAATGTCACCACACATTCTGAGCACAATTACAAGAAGCAACAGTTTAAAGTTCACAATTATGAGCAAAGCTAGTGGTAGTCACAGCGGGCAAGTGAGGAGGAGGAGGGACTGTGAGAGGAGAGAAGATGGGAGACGACGGCTGAAGCTGCAGACACATGGGCAACAGGAGCGGCTGGCACAGTGGCTACCGGGACAGCGCCCCGGACTACTGGAGTAACTGGCTCACGGGCTACGAGGAGCTACAGGAGCAACGGACCCACGGGCGACAGGCGCAGCAGGCTCTCTGGGCTACAAGGACAGTGCGCCCCGGACTACAGGTGCTGCGGACGACAAGACAGCAGCCTCCACTCAACCTCCCCAAACAGTCCCACACCCCCCTACACACACCCCCAGTTTCACCCCTAGCTCCACTCCCACATCACCCCCCTAGCTCCACTCCCCACAGCTCCCACACCTCCACCCCCCTCAGCGGCAGCTGCAGCAGTGGGAGATGAAAAAGGAGGAGGGAAGAACCCACACCTCTCACCCCCATGCTTGCCACCCCACACCCCCACCACCGCGGAACGCACGGCGGAATGGGAGCAATGGGCAGCACGGGGGGGGGGACGGGACGGGCTTCCGCAGGGGCGGCTCGCACGGGTCCTGGGGCGGCTGCTGCAGGCACTGGCTGCTCCAGGGGCGGCTGCTGCAGGTGCGGGCTGCTCCAGGGGCGGCTGCTGCAGGTGCGGGCTGCTCCAGGGGCGGCTGCTGCAGGTGCGGGCTGCTCCAGGGGCGGCTGCTGCAGTGGCGGGCGGCTCCAGGGGCGGCCGCTGCAGGTGAGAGGTAGGAGGAGGTGGGGGGGGGGAGGGGGGGGGGGGAAAACGCACGGCCCCCAGGGCGCCCCGAGGGGCGACGAGAAAGGGAGCCGCGCGGCCCCCCCCCGGGGCGCCGCGACGGGCACCAGAGAGGGCGCCGCGACGGGCCCCCAGAGCCGCCTCGACGGGCGACGGAGAGGGCGCCGCGCGGGCCCCCCGAAGTCGCCTCGACGGGCGACGGGGAGGGCGCCGCGCGGGCCCCCCGAAGTCGCCCAGCTCCTACAAACCCCAAGAGCCGAGGTAAAGTGATGTGGAACAGTGCCACACTGTCCCCAACCACGAAGGGTCTTGAAACTACCCTTCACCTCGACGGGCGACGGGGAGGGCCGCGCACGGCCCCCGAAGTCGCCTCGACGGGCGATGGGGAGGGCGCCGCGCACGGCCCCCGTGGTCGCCACGACGGGCGACTGGTGGGGAGGCCGCGTGGGCCCCCAAGGTCGCCTCGACGGGCGACGGGAGGGGAGGCCGCGCGGGTCCCCGAGGTCGCCTCGACGGGCGACGGGAGGGGAGGCCGCGCGGGTCCCCGAGACCGCGGAGGCCCCCCCAAGGGCACCACGACGGGCGCCACGGAAGGGAAAACCGCCAGGCGCCCTGAGCGCGCGGCGGGCAGAAATTAGGGTTTCGCCGCCGCGCACCACGTGGCGCGCGGCGGACAGTACGGCAGCGGAAGCGGGTGGTGGGCCCATACACAGGAAGGAGGCAGACATGCCGCCCTCTGATACCATGTCAAAGATAGTAGCAGTACGGCCTAGGCTTAGTAGCCTAGGCCACAGTAGGACTAGAACGAGGAGGCGCCAAGTGCGAGCTAGGATTGTGTGCAGGAATAGAATTGAGAAGGAATGATGGAACTAGCAAGCAGCAGGATACAAATAACAAACCCTAAGGGGCTGTACTCACTATTGAGTGCCCCACTGCAGGCTACACAAACAACATATTGTGACACGGTCTTCTCCCGGGAGAGGGAGTCCAGCAACTCCACGTGCGTAGCTTGAGCCATCGATGCTCATCGCTTGATGGCTCTCAAGAGCATTAATGCGGGCGACCAGCTGCTCAACAAGAGCGGCGCTGACGGAGGTCACCGCTGATGGTGCAGTAGGTGTTGCTGGTGGTGGGCCCGGAGAATCTGCAGTGGCTTTTCCTTCTGGAGCCATAGTAGTGCAGAGTTTGTAACGACGTAACGAATACTCCATAGGGAGGTTGTTCTAGCAAGAACAAGAACTTAGCAGGCCTTATAATCCACTCTTTCTCTCATACCATGATGTTATAACTGAAGGATCGCTGTGGATAGGATAAAGTTGCTAAGTCTATGAAAGAACTGTGAAGTCTCTGTAATGACCTTGTTGATGAACTTTGAAAGAACAAGATGATTATAAGATAGGAGTACAGGAATATAAATAGCAATCCTAGCTAGCCATGTACTTTGAGGGGTACATTCCCTCATTTTTTTTTACATTGCTACAGTAACCACGACTATTGCCATTCTAGACAGTTACCACGTTGCATCTTGCAACCGCCTCGTGCGGTTATTGGTCAGTCAAGGGTCACGACCGTTGACTGTCTTCGACTGTTGACCTTCGGGTGACCCTCGACCTTCCGCGTGCTCTATATGAGCTATTGCGGTACTGATACAGGCGTTTACTTCATTATGAAGTGACGCGATAGTGGGGAGCCTTCGGGAATGCTTAAGATAACCTTTCGGTTATTCCAACACCACCTGCTTGAGGAAGAGGGCTGCGGTGATGGAGCCACCCTCACAGCCGCCCGTAATGACCATATCAGCATGCTTGCTGCGCATGCCCTCCCATTACGCCTCCTCCATGGGCATGCACAACACCTTGTCACCACACGCCTTGGATGACGCCTCCAGCTCCGCTAACAGCTCATCACTCGGGGTGAAGAGACCTAGGGTGGTGGGAGGGAGGAGCACGAGGGAGATGGGGGGATGAGGAAGGGGGGTTAAGTGAGAGAAGGTGCACATGAGTACATATGCATGCGATTTCACCAGCAATGCCACCGACATATCAGCCAACACGTCATGCCAGGAGCGTACCAGCGATGTCGTTCCCGAGGGCGATGATGCAAGCGCCAGTGAGGGTGGCGACATCAACAATCTTCTCCACGCCCTGCTGCTGCGCGTACAGCAGCGCATCTGCCAGTGTCAGCCGCCCCTCCGCGTCCGTGTTGTTCACCTGCCAGGGGGATGGGTACAGGGAAGGGGAGGAAGGGGCGGGAAAGGGGAGGTAGGGGTGGGGAAGGGGAGGAAGGGACGGGGACGGGGAGGAAGGGATGGGCCGGTTGTGTTGTAGGCAGTGTTGTTAGACAACACCCAACTGCCATTCCCAATGCTCTTGCCGCACCCCACTGCTCTCGCTGTACCACACCTCGAGGTACCTAAATGCATGTAGGTTCACCTCTGTGGTTTTGCCGTTGGAGGCAGAGATAATGACTAACAATTAACTACCTCAACGCATAGGAATCGAGCCAAAGCCTCAGCAGCTCGCTGGCCTCCCCTCACCTCACTGTCCCCCCGACGCACCTCGATGGTTTTGCCGTTGGAGGCGGTGATGATGTCGCCCGGCTTCATGCCGCCCCCACTGACCATGTTCTCACACGCTGCTATGATGAAATGCACCTGTAGTGATGGGCATGTTAACATGCACATACAAGGGACATCCACATGCAAGGCACATGCACATGCAAGGCACATGCACATGCAAGGCAGATGCACATGCAAGGCAGATGCACATGCAAGGCACATGCACATGCAATGCACATGCACATGCAAGGCACATCCACACACAAGGCACATGCACATGCAAGGCACATGCACATGCAAGGCACATGCACATGCAACGCAAAGCGCACACACAAACAGACATCACATCAATGGGATTAAGCCTTCACGCTATCCCCACTGGTGTGACTTTTAAGAATTCTCAAACAACTCAAAGCACACACACAAACATACACCACATCAACAAGATCAAGCCTTCATGAAGCCTTCACCGAGTGTTCCCCACTGGTGTGCTGTTATGACCAACTGTCCCTGGGCATGCAAACAGCAAGCAAGGGGCGTGGGGGAAAAGGTGACAACACACGCAACAATACACACTTGCCTCCATCCACGCCCCATTGCATCTCGAGCCTCATGCTCTAACAGCACGCGTTGACCACCCCCTACCATATGGGAGGTGAATGCGTGCCATGCCCCATGCCCCATGCCCCATGGCCGTGGCATGCCTGTGGCGGCAGCAAGGCACGTTCGGAAAAGAGGTGAGGGAGTGCTGAGTGCTGAGGGAGCAGGTGGGCGGAAATAGGTGCAGAACCCTCACCTGCACGCCCTGAGGCTGGATAGCAGCGATGGCATTAGTGGTGCCAGCGGTGTGTGTGTGCGTGTGTGCTTGCATGGTCTGGCCTCACCTGCACGCCCTGGGGCTGAATGGCAGCGATGGCCTTGGCAGCGCCCAGCACAGCAGCAGTGCCGCCCATGTCAAACTTCATCAGGTGAATCATTGAACCCGGCCCCGCCTTGAGGTTGTAGCCGCCACTGGTGGGTGCGATGGGTGGGAATGGGTGGGAATGGGTTTGGATGGGTGGGGATGGGTGGGGATGGGCGACGGGTGATTGGGGATGGGGGATGCGAAGAAGAAATTCATCAGGTGAATCATTGAACCCGGCCCCGCCTTGAGGTTGTACCCTCCACTAGTGGGTGCAATGGGTGGGGACGGGATGGGTGGGGAAGGGTGAGAGGTATCGTGGAGCCCTTTGCTGTCTGGCGCCTCTCATGGAGACTGGATGAGCACCATACGCATCCCCGTGTATTGACGGCTCACTATCCCCATGTCACAAGTGAAATTGAGACCCGTGCATACCTGTCGAAGGTGAGTCCCTTGCCGATCAGCGCCAGCTTCTTCAGCGGCTTCTCCTCCGCCCCTTGACCATCCGCAGCAGCAAGTGGTGTGTAGGTGACGTGGATGAATTTGGGCGGGTTGTCCGCCGCTGATGCCTCCGCCACTGCCAGGTACGACCCCATGCCCAGGGCGGCGCATTCGTCCTTTTCTAGTACACGCGCGCTCAGCACGTCCGCGTGAGGGGCGGTCTAGTTGACCGCCACGTCAGCGAGGACAGCTGGCGTGAGCACATTGGGCGGCGCGTTGACGAGGTGCTTGGTGAGGATGATTCCCGCCGCCAGCCCTCTCCACCTCGAACACGTCCTTTTGCAGTGACTCCGCGTCACCCAGCCCCACCACTTGCAACTCCTTCACACCCCTCTCTTCCTTCGCCTTCTCCATTTCTTCCGATTTGAACCGCACGTCCTCGAAGCTACCTACTATGGCGCCCGTCACTATCCCCCAAACCGCGCTCCCGACTTTAATCTCCTGCCCCTCCGCCGCCTCTGGCTTGCCGAGGAATGCAAGGGATACCTTGCTAGCTTGATTCGTTTTAGCAGCGCTCGCTATAGCGGAGCCTACCCCCTGCCATGAGCCGGCCTCCCCCTTTAAAAGCACATCCGGCTTGCCCAGTCCCAGCAGCGCGACTCTTTTAAACGGCTGCCCAGGAAAGCGAAGGACTTGCGAAACCTGCCCGGGCTTCGCTCTGAAATCTGGGTCAGATGCCAGCTCAGTGAGGGCACCTGACAGCGTGACGTCGAGAGATGCCAGCTCAGCACCGCCTGACGCGTCGGCAGCGAAGCCAGTAAAATTAGCTGCTGACGTGTCGTCGCGGGAGAGGGCGGAGTCGAAGACAGCGAGGAGTAGCAGGTCGGACAGGAGGGAGAGCGACAGCGAGGCGTGGTCGAAGGAGACGGTCACCTGCCATGGCCGCAGGGAGGGTGGTGAGGTAGATGGCAGCCGGGATGAATAGTGAAGAGAGAGGAGGAAAGGTGGGGGGAAGGAAGGAGGGGACAGTAGTCGTTGCGGTGGGGAAGGAGGTGGAGGGTTGGTGAGAAACAAATGAGAGGGATGCTAGAATTGACAGACGTGGCGCTATAACAAGGGCAGTGACACTATACGAGGGCAGTGACACTGTACCGAGGGCAGGACGGCGTTCCCCGGGACGGTTAGGCCCAACACGCCTTTTCGCCGCGCACTATCGCGCTAAATATTTTATATATGTTTATAACTGCCTGTAGCTTTAGCTTTAGTGTAGTTATGTTTCCTTGCTGTTGGTGGTGCACCTTTGCTAGTTTGCTATATGTACCTTGTGTGCTATAGTGAACAACACACATTCTCACTTTCGCTTGGCACAACTCTCTCGACACCCGTTTGGCCTAGGCTTCTAAGCCTAGGCCCTAAACCCGGTTCCTAAGTTAAGTTAGTCTTGTAACATGGTATCATAGCTTTTAAAAACCTGACCTAAGTTAATGGGCCCACCCATTCGCGGCACGGCACTCACTGCGATGGGCGCGGCGGCGAGCCGGCCGCGTTTCCCTCGTCGCCAGCCCGTCGTTTTTGTTTTTCCCTCGTCGCGTGCCCGTCGCCAGCCCGTCGCGTTTCCCTCGTCGTCAGCCCGTCGCGTTTCCCCCCCGTCACCACCTCTGCCCGCACCTACGCCTGCTGCCGAGTTTGCACGAGAGTGGGGAAGGGTTGGGGGGGCGGCATCGGGAATGAAGGGGACGGCGTCTGTGGCGGTCGTCGCGGCCCTTCCCCCCCCCCCCCCCGTCCCGTTTTCTTCCCTCCCGTCGCATTCCCCGGGCCCCCTGCCCGTCATCCCCCCCGTCGCGACTGTTCGCGTGTGCAGCGGCGGTCGCTGTGGGTGGGAGAGGGAGGAGGGGAAGGGATTGGCGGCGGAACGCTCGCAATGGGGGGGAGAGGGAAAGGGAGAAGGTAGTGGCGGAGGAATGCTGTGGGGGAGAGAGGAAAAGGGGGAAGGGAGTGGCGGCGGAACACCAGCGATCACCGCCAGCGCACCGGCGATCGCACCAGCACTTGCGCGCCTCCTACCGTCAGATCCCGCCCAGCCTGTAGCCCGTCTGCAGCTCGTCCCACCCGTCCCGCCCCATCAGCACCAGGCACCAGCACTAGCGCCAGCCGCCAGCACCAGGCACCAGCACCAGCACCAGCGCCAGCTGCCAGCACCAGGCACCAGCACCAGCGCCAGCCGCCAGCACCAGGCACCAGCACCAGCACCGGCACCAGCGCCGTCATGCCAGCACCAGGCACCAGCACCAGCGCCAGCCGCCAGCACTAGGCACCAGCACCAACGCCAGCCGCCAGCACCACGCACAAGCGCCGTCACGCTAGCACCAGGCACCAGCACCAGCGCCAGCCGCCAGCACCAGGCACCAGCACCAGCGCCAGCCGCCAGCACCAGCGCCGTCACGTCAGCACCAGGCACCAGGACCAGCAGCCCCACTTGTGACGAGCAGCCCCACCTGTGACCAGCAGCCCCACCTGTGACCAGCAGCCCCACCTGTGACCAGCAGCCCCACCTGTGAAGGACTGTCCAAGGATCATCGTGGGTGGGGAGGGGTCTGAAGGAAGAAAGTGGGGGAGGGAGTGCGGTTCCAAGGAGCGGTTGAAATGGGGGGTGAGGTTCAAGGGGGTTGGTTGATTGGGGGTGGGGATGTGGGGGTTAGTAAGAGGGGACGCTGCGGCCACCCCCCCACCTCCTCTCCTCATCCCCCACTCAACCCCCCCCCCTTCGTAAAAGGGGGTTAGTAAGAGGGGACGCCGTGGCCACCCCCCCACCTCCTCTCCTCATCCCTCACTCACCTGCTCCTTCGTTCTTATCTCCTCTCCTCTCCTCTCTCTCTCTCTCTCTCTCTCTCTCTCTCTCTCTCTCTCTGTCGCCTCCTCCTCCTCACTTACCTCTCTGCCGTCTTCCACTGCACCTGCAATACCCCTTTAGGGGGTGTGACTTGCTCTAGCTATGTGCTGCAGGCAGTTAAGGGGGTGTGTCGCGCTAAACATTATATATATGATTATAAATGCCTGTAGCTTTAGCTCGAAAAAGTTCCTAACCCATCGACAGGCTCCTCTTAACTGGCTAGTCTGTGCGAGAGAATATTGCACACACCATTCTAGTATAGCGAGAAAACAAACAAAGAAGCAGGTTAGCTGAAGAAACTAGCAAGCTATGTACAAGATGCATCCAGTCTAGTTCCTCGCTAAGCCTGCTACCACGCTTGGTCGTGACCCTGTTGCTGCACACACACAGAAACAAACACACTTCATCCGACATGCACTCGATCTGACGCCTCCATTCCAGCCCACTGTATGTACAAACGCATCTGAGCCGTCCCCCACCATGCCACCTGGGGTCTCCTGACCGAGTTCCCTTCCCGTCACCGGTGTGGAATCCAAACCCTCGTCACCCCACCCATCACTGTACCAGCGGCTCGCTTGCATGCTGCGACGTTTGGCTCGCTCTCCTCTCGCTGTTCTTCCCAGCTGGCTGCCTGCCATCCTCGATGTAACCCCTTCCCCAGCATTGTACAGTTCTTCCCTCCTCCCTGTTACGTGAGATATGAACTCACCCTGTATCTTATGTGACAGCTGTCGGATGCCATAGGCTACCTCTCCTTCTCTTTACCTCCTCTCTTCCGTCACGCTGACAACCCTCTCCCTTACCCCACCTTCGCTCGTTTGCCCTGCCCATCCTACTCTGATCCTCCCCTCTTGTTGTCTTGCAGGTCCGAGTCTTTCACCCACTTGCCCCCTTCCGGGACCTGTTTGGCTCCTGCTGCTAGTCCACAGGAACTCTGCCCAGCTTCTTCCCCGTTGCTTTCGCCACGTTAGTTACGTGGTCCCTGCGCCGCTGCCCTACTTCGGACTCCAAAACTAACACCCTGGATGGCTTAACTTCCTTTACCACCCACCGATCGGTGGTCAGCCCTTGATCTAGCACATCCTTCTTCGCTTTCCTCAGATACACCTCAGTTCCCTCCTCCACGGCTGTGCCCTTGCCCTTCCCTAGCTGCAGTTGCCTCTGCTGATACCGTTTGGCATCCCTTAACTGTGTTGTATGCAGGTTCCCCAGCGCTGACGGCATGTGCTTGTTCAGGTACCTGGCCCTGCAGTCCGCCAGCGCTGCCCAGTTCTCCACTGTCCCCGCCGTCACCACGTCCGTCAGTACCTTCGGTGCTTTTACTGGAAGCGTGGGCTGCTTCCCGTAGAGCAGGTAGTAGGGCGAGTAGTCTTTCAATGCCGCCTGCTTGCTGAAACGATACCCCGCCGCGACCCAATGCAGCTCTTGGTCCCAATCTCTCTTATGGTCCTCCCCATACGCCCTCAGCCCCTTCTTGATGGTCTGAACCATCCGCTCCATGAGACCGTCTGACAGCGGGTGGTAGCATGATGTCCACTTCTTTCAGGAGCTTGTCAAAGGCTCCCATGAATTCGGTGCCTTGGTCTGTCAAAACCTCCCCGCACGCGCCGAACCGTGTCCGCACTTGGTCAGTAAATGCTTCTGCGATCAGTTCAGCGCTCTTGCTGCTCAGCGCTCGCACCTCCAACCACTTTGACACGTGCTCAATCATCATGAGCACATACCGCTTGTTCTTGCGGCTCAGTGGCATTTCCCCTGCCAGGTCCAGGGACCATCGGTACCCCAGCCCCATGAAGGGTAGGGACTGCAGCTCCTGCTGATCCCTCTCTAATTGCGCCTTGTTCCGGCTGCATCGCTCACACTCGGTTACGACCTCCCTGACCTGCCGATGGAGGCCCGCCCACCACCAGCTGGTCACCAGCAGTTGCGCTGTCCTGATGTGTCCATAGTGACCCAGCTGGTTGTGTACCTTCTCTATTAGCACCCTCCTTTCTTCCGGCGCCGGCACCAGCTTCCACCCCTCTTTGGTCTGCATCTGCAGTTGCTGCTGGTACCATCGGTAATGCTGTCCGCACGCCCTTGCTCTGTCGCTGACCTATTCCTCCGCCTCTGTCTCCCCTTTCACCCAGCGCAGCGCCTCTGGGTAATTCCAGATGTCTTCTGGCCCGTTTCCTCTGCCCCTGGCTGCCTCTGCTTCCAGCGTCCCCCTCGCCATTACTGCCAGGCGCAGCGCTGGCGAACTCGCTTCCGAACCATCTTGTGGCTTCTCTTCCGCCGGTGGCGGATTGCGTGACAGCCCGTCGACGTGCTGTAGCGTCTTCTCCGGGCGGTGGCGGATCTTGAACTCGTATTCCTGGAGCTGCATTGTCCACCTCGCGTTCCTCCCCGTGAGCGTCTGGTTAGTCATCATCCATGTCAGGGGCTGATGGTCGGTGACCAGCGTGAAGGGGCTCCCCTGCAAATACACACGGAAATGATTCACGGCCCACACCGCCGCGAGCCCCTCTCCTTCTCGGTCGAGCTGCAGCTACGACTTGCGAAGGCGACCACTCGCTCGCCTTGCTCAGTCTCTTGACACAGCACTGCACCAATGCCCAAACTGCTCCAATCTGTGTACAGTGTGAAGGGCCGGTCCCTCTTCGGGAGCACCAGCACTGGCCCGGTCTTCACCGCTTTCAGCAGATATTTCAAGGCCCGATTCTCCTCTGCCCCCCACTTCCACTCGTTGCTCTCCCTCAGCAGCTGGTTCAGGACCGCGGCTCTTCGGTTGAAGTTCGGGATGAACTTCCTGTAGTAATTCAGAAATCCCAGCACTGCTCGCAGCCTGCTTCTGTCTGTTGGCGCCGCCACTTTATCCAGAACCGCCACCTTCGCCTCCTGGATCGAGAGCGTCCCGCCGGACACCTCGAAGCCCAGGTACCTCACCGTACTCTCGCCGAACCTGCACTTGCTGGGGTGGCACATCAGCCCTGCTTCCATGAATGCCCCCAGCACCTTCTCCACATCCGCTACATGGCTCGCTGCGTCCTTGCTGAATACAATGACGTCGTCAATGTAGCAGGCCGCGCAATCGATTCCTCTTAGCACCGTGTCCATGGTTTGCTGGAAGATTGCCGATAAGTTCCTCATTCCGAACGGCATGCCATTCCACTCCCAGAGTTCGTCCACTCCATGAAATGCTGTTTTTGCCTTATCTTCTTCCCGTATCTGGATCTGGTTAAACCCTTGCCGTAGGTCCAGCGTTGTGAAGACGGTGGCTCCTTCCACCTTGTCGAATATGTCTTCCGGCACCGGCATAGGGTAGCGGTTTGCCTTCGTGATCATGTTAAGATCCCGATAATCCCCGCACATCCTGCACGAGAGCACTTCCCCCGTCATGTCCTTCCTTGATGCCACCACCGTGGCCGCCGCGTACTCCGAGGTTGACCATTGTATGAGCCCTCCCTCCAACAGCTCCTGACATTTCTCCCTGCACACCTCTTCATCCGCCCTCGTCATCCGTCGTTTGCGCTGGTAGGTCGGAAAGTCCGTGATTAGCTCGATCTTCATTTCGCCCACTCGGCTCTTGCCCAGCTCCTTGAGCGAGAAGGCGAACGCCTTCCCGTGGCGTTTCAGCATTTCCTTCATGGCTTCTGCTTGCTCCGCGTTCAAGGCTGGCCCCACTTCCCACTCCTTCTCTGTCGCTCCCTCGACTGCGGTTCCCGTTGACGGCGCTTCTTCCCTGGTGCCTGTCAAAGCCATGAAGCTCTTCATATAGCCCCATTTTGCCACTTTGCTTCTCACTTCCAGGTTTTCCTCCTCTCTCGGCGGCCAACCCCTTTTCCTGATTTGCTCCTCGACTGCCGTTAGACTCTCCAGCTTCCACTTCTCGTTACCCAGCTGCCACTGCGCATCGCTGTTTGGTCCAGCGCCTTCTGCCCACCACTCCTTCTCCACTCGAATTTCCATGTCCCAGAGCAGCAACTGGACTTCCACGGTATGCAGCAGCCATTCCACTGCCTGGACGTCCATGCCCTGCCCCAGGGCCCGTCTGCGTTCCCATTCCGCCGCTCCTTTGGCCGCGGTCGCTCCCGGCAGGAATCCCATGGCCAATTCTCTCTCCAACGCTGTGGGTTCTCCCCACTCTCCTGTCCGTAGATCCTTTACCATCCCTGGCCAAGGCACTCCTTCCTTCTTCTGAAATGCGTAGGAGCCCGCATGTGCTACCAGTGTCGGCCATGCCTGCCTTGGTTCACCCGGTGTGTTACAAGGGTAGTGTGCCAGGTGATCCGGATACTGCACCGGCGCCTCCTGCCTGTTTGGTTCCAGAATGTCTCTCACGAGCCTTGCTTCCGGCCTCTTCAGTTTGGAGAGATCCAGCCGCAGGCGCCCCTCTGGGAGGCCGTTCTGCCAGTAACGCCGATCTCTGTGCGACCTGGCTCCTGCCTGAGCCGCGTCCATCGCCACTCCCGCCCCCAGTACCGCCGTAACCCTTTGGTAGGCTGCTCTCACCGACTCCCTCGGATCCGTGGCAAATTCTGGGTTCTCCAACACATACAAGTATTCCCCTTGAATCCTGTGCACTAACTGCATTACCCGCACCATGTCTTCGAAGAGGGCCGTCCGGTCATCCTTGAGCCCCAGCCCATCTCCTGCTCTTGACACTCCCTGACATTCCCACCCTGCGATTAGCACGTCCACTCGCCCCCACGTCGCTATCTGCGCTTCCGTTATTTCGTTCACGCCGTGTCCCGTCTGCCCCCAGTTGCCATCCGTTGCTCCATCCATAATCTGCCCAGGGTATGTGCATCGCAGCATCTCCACGTGATGCTCCGCCATCTTCCTCACTCGCGGGTTCGCCTCCACGTACGTCCGTTTTTTTATTCTCCATCCCGCCTTCAGCGCAGCGGCCAACCCCATCCCAAGGCCTCCGAATGGTTCCAGCATTTGGATGGGCTTCTGGAGTATTCGCTTGTTCAGTACCTCCTCTAGAATTGTCTCCTTTCTTTCGGCCCACACTTCGCGCTGCGTCCGCCTATCCAGCTCGGCTTCGGCTTCATACCAGCTCATTTCCCCGAGCTGGTCTTCCAGACCTACGGCTCTTGCCTGGTAGGCTCCCTTCGGCTCTTGGCTGACGAATCTCACTGGTAGAGTCCCTCTCGGCCCCCCTGGCCTCGAGAAGCGCGGCCTGTACACCACTTTTTCTTGCCACGTGCATATTGTCGCGCCCACCGCGTAGAGCAGCCTTATCCCCATCAGCAGGTCGTAGTCCTCCAATTCCGTAACTCCGCAGGTCAGCTTCACTCGGCATTCATCCCTTTCTCCTGGTTTCAGCACTATCTCCACCGTGTGCCGAGTGCAGGGCAGCCATTTCGGCTCTCCCCCTTCGGCCGTCATTACTGAGAAGCCTCCCTCTCTCAACCGACCCTCCTCGTGCAACTCCATCTGCTCCGCCAGTCCCTTCCCAATGAGGACGTGATGCGAGCCCGTGTCGATGATCGCCATGTCCACCAGTATTCCTGCCACCACCACTGAGCCCTTCGCTGCCACCAGCACCGTAGATTGGCACAGCATGCGTTCCTTGGGGTGCCGATAGGATTCGTCTTCAAACTCCGGGTCTTCGGCGCAACGTTGCTCCCGCATATATCCGCCCCCTGGTATGCCTGCCCGCAGCACTCCTCCTCC